AGTTGGGAAATGCTTGGAAATTTGTAGCCAGTTCTAAGTGCATAAAGTTTCCTCTCAATGCTGGTGGGGAATTTCCTCAGGTTTATGACTACGGTAGTCTATTTGTAGAGGACAGTCCTCTATTTGAGATTCTGGCCAGTCAAAGTCCCGCTTAAAGATTAAGAACCACAAGTTAGCATATGTAAATATTATATTTGTGTCCGCATTGTCTCTTTTTTGGAGATGCATAGAAGTGGCTACCCTAATTGCAGCAGGGAAAAAAAGTCTTATATCCCTGCTTCTCCATGCCTGGTGCAATGCCAATAATCATCAGCTACCTGCCTCTTCCCCCCCTCACATATCTGCATTTTTAAAAACATGCATGTTAAATGCAAAGACACATGTCATGTCACGTCTAGTTTGGTCCTTAGACAGAATATTCCCTGGATTGGCAACTGGGGCTGTGTATTTAATAAAAGGCCAACAAACTTCAGAGAGCTAAGAGAGCTAGGGGGTTGAAAACCATGACCATCAAACTTGTTTTCCATGTAAAGACTTAGCTTTCAAGGTTATCCCCCCCCCTTGGTTTTTACCCATCTGCTTTGAGGTGAACCTTGAATGGGAAGCCTCATGGCGTGTGCTGCCTTATTACACAAAGAAAGTACTCTGGCATCTCACAGCTCTTGAATTATTTAAAATACAGATGACAAAAAGGGAAGGATTAAGAAGATCTGATACACTCTCCAGACTGAAATATCAATTATACACACTTACACTTTTAAAAACTTGTTTGTGAGATTAAGAATTTACTATTGAGCTAAAACATTAATTACAAGGTTCCTCCTGCTTCCCTCCACAAAACTTGCAAGTCCTGATTATATAATCTACCCATCCCAGTCCGTGTTGCTGAAAGGTTGGCAATAGGTGTGCTTCAGAAAGGCGAGGGCAGAAAGGCAATATTTAACTGGCAAACTAAACTTCCTCTGTGGTGAGGAACTGTTTTAGAACAACGGCAGCAATTCCTTTCAGTAACTTTTACAGAAAATATTGTTATGGGTTGGGGTTGGTTGATCAAGATGCTGGAAGGAGGTTTGCCAGGCACCGGATCTAGGCCTCTCCATTGATAGGTCCACAGATAGTCTGATGGGCCTTCACGACAGGCAGAAATTAGAAGGGGAAGCCCTTTTCCCCGCCTCTCCCAAATAACACTCTATCTATCTATCTATCTATCATCTATCTATCTACTGTTGCTGTTGTTTTTTAAAATGAAATACAGAATTTTGATGCCCTTTGCCCACAAATTAGCTTTGAACTGAATTGAGAAAAAGAACGACATAGTTGTATTTTAAGCTGGAAATGCCCACACAGCTGGTCACTCCAGTTTGTCTCTCTGTATGGAATGTAGGGTGGCAGCACAATCTTGCCCCTTGCCTCAGGTAGCAAAAAGTTTTGGACTGACTCTGCCCAAATCTGAAGAACATTATATCTACAACAGAAGAAGATTACATTCTTGATCTGTGAACCCTGACCTCTAATTACTTGAAAGTTGTCTTTGCCTGTCAAAAGAGGCTTCCATTTTTGCACCTCATCTTCAAAGCACTTTTCGAAGTTCAGATGTGGAACTCTAGTGTTTTGCTGCATCAACAGCTACCCGTGGTCTGAAAAAGACCCATGGGTGTAGCTGCCTCATGACAGGTTCACTGGGGTTTTAACTGATGTGTGAGAAGCTAAGCACCAGAGATTAATGTGCTTGCTTATTTTGTTTTTAAGGGAAGCCTTTTGCAGATCACCATCTGATAGAGATGATTTGTAGAGTGAAAGAAAAGGACACTCACAAATAGCCTTTGGCCTCCCTGAAATTAAGGTAAGCACAACTAAAACTCTGTACCTCTCTCATAAAAAGTTCACTGATTTTTTCTCCTGCTTGATCATTTTTGCATGTAGTCCCCCCCCCATTGGTTGATGAAGAATGGTTAAAAATGAGAATTTTTAGCACACCTCTGTACTATGTAGGCATCATGCACCATGAGTGGTACAAGGAGACAAGTGAGGCTTGCAGGGAAAGTATTTAGGAGCCAACATGCTTTTGTACCTAGTTCCTTTCAAGGGAGATACAAAATGTAAGGCTTCAATGTAGACTTGCTGTTTCTTTATTAATATTGCTTTTCTTATTGGTTTTGTTTCTCCCCTCAGACCAGGGAGATGCTATTGCCTCATTTAATAGCAACTGGACACAAAAACTAGCAGTTTGTATGGGGTGTTAGAAGAGAGGTAGTACCTCTGGTGGGGGGACATGTCATGTTGCTTCTGGGGTAGTTTGTCCACCTTTGGTCCACACCCTGCACTCAGCTCTCACCTGTGGTTTCTAGAAGCTGTCAATGTGTGACAGCAGCCACACCCCAGGAAATGGCTTCAACCAGCTGGCTAAACCTGGTGGAGGTGGTCTGGTGGACAAGAAGGTAGGAAATGAGGGGTAACTGGGGCTCATCAACCTGGGAAGGTAGCCCATCTAGGAGAAGGAGAATTCTGATTCAAAACTTCTGTTTCCTTGTGGGATATCTTTGGGAGAAGAAAAGTCTAAGAAGTGAATCTTACACAAATCTGGAGTGGAGTCCCTAAGAGAGCACCTTCCAGCAACTCCTGGAGCCAAACTTATTGGCTCCACATTAGCTTTCCTTTGGACCACATTAGCGAGGCCAGGGTGGTGGTCTTGTTATCTGGGCAGCCCAGGACCCCCATATACACTGTCCAGGTTTGCACCCCAAAGATATCACTTCAGGTGTTGTGATTCTCCAGTGGTTTGACTTCACCCCTGAAGGTGCATTCCATTGTCTCCTGAGACAAACAAATGTCAACATTCCAGGAAAAGCTTCTCCACCACAACTTCTACCAAGTACAGTGGTACCTCGGGTTACAGATGCTTCAGGTTACAGACTCCGCTAACCCAGAAATAGTACCTCAGGTTAAGAACTTTGCTTCAGGATGAGAACAGAAATTGTGCGGCGGCAGCAGTGGGAGGCCCCATTAGCTAAAGTGGTGCTTCAGGTTAAGAACAGTTTCAGGTTAAGAACGGACCTCCGGAACGAATTAAGTACGTAACCAGAGGTACCACTGTATAAGAGCAAAGTCAGAAAACGATGCAATTGTATGCACAATGCTATCACTCTCCATATGTGTTTCGAGAAATAATTTTGTCTTTGCTGGAATGTGCCATTCAATGTGAACAGTTTTGCTTATGGGCTAAAAATAAGGAGGAGGAACTAAACTCAAAGGCTGCTGAGCTGCTGCTGAGCAAATAAGGCCCCTGCTCCCTAATGCTGATCTCTCTCTTCCTCTTTTGAAGACTATAGTGGCCTTTTCATAATTTTATTCCACAGCAGTGTTTTGTTCATTGGGTAGAAACTGTTGACCTATTAAGTTTCCAATTATTCTCTCTGGGACCGGGAAAAAGAACCCAAGCATGAAAGGAGTATAAATAGACAGTGTTTAGAATTTTAAATTGAACATCAGGACACCAGCTAGAAAAAAGGCTAAGTAAAACTTTCCCCAAACAACGCTGGTGTGGAGACAAATTTCAAGCATTCTTTTAAAGCAGGGTTTGGGAACCTGTGGCCCTCCAGCTCTTGCTGGACTGTGGTTCCCATCATCCCTGATCATTGGTTCTGCTGGCTGGGGCTGATGGATGTTGGAGTTCAATGACATCTGGTGGGCCACAGGTTCCCGGCCTCCGCTTTAAAGATTGGCTGACAGGACAGTCCTGGGAGTAAGCCTATTGAACTCAATATGATTTACATACGAGTGGACACATATAGATTGCTGTCCCACATTTCTGGAGGGTATAGCCTCTCATCAACACACTGAAGAGTGGGAGATTCAGCATGGATAGAAGGAAGTCTTCAAATAGCAGGTAAAGGCAAAGGACCCCTGAATGGTTAAGTCCAGTCAAAAACAACTATGGGGTTGCGGTGCTCGCCTCGCTTTCAAGATGAGGGAGCCAGTGTTTGTCCACAGACAGCTTTCCGGGTCATGTGGTCAGCATGACTAAACCACTTTTGGTGCAACGGGACCCTGTGACAGAAGCCAGAGTGCACGGAAATGCCATTTACCTTCCCGCCACTGCGGTACCTATTTATCTACTTGCACTGGTGAACTTTAGAACTGCTAGGTTGGCAGGAGCTGGGAGGGGGCAACGGGAGCTCACCTGTCACAGGGATTCGAACTGTTGACTTTCCAACTGGCAATGAATGAGGCTCAGTGGTTTTAGACCAGAGCGCCACCCGCATCCCTTACCTTACCTTCAGATAGCAGCACATCGTTAAACAGTGGAGTTCATTTCTAAAAGTAGCAGTAATGATCACTAGCTTGTACAGCTTTCAAAGGAGATGAGACAAGTTAATGGAAGAAATGGTACCACTGGCTACCAGAATCATAGGCAACATGCCTCTGAGTACCCATTTGCCATGGCAGTCCCTCAGATACTTCTGGGTGTGCACCCAATGAAACAGCTGTTGCAACAGAGAGGCCCTATCCCTGACCTTGGTTTATCTAGCTCCCCTATCTGAGCTGCATGCAAAGACTCCACCTGTGTGTAACTTGCTTTTGATCCAGCTGCCAACTCATCCTCCTCCCTGAGGGAAGAGAAAATGGGACATTCTGGGATCCAGTCAGAAGCACTGATGGCTTCTGTAATTCTGGGATGTCCCGGGAAAATTGGGATGGTTGCAGGGTATGCCTACGGCATGTTGGCATGAGCTCTTCATGAAGGACCTCAACTCTCATGCAGCAAAATATGTTCATTTAAATGTGAGAGGGAGCATATGGGGTAAGGGCCCATGCGCATCCTGTATAAATCGGTTACATTTAGTGAAATCTGATCTCTTCCCCCTCCCTCTGCTCACTGGCTGCCATGTAGTTAAGGAGGTTGACTTTGACAACATCTGAGAGGGAGAGGCCCTCTAAATGCGGATAAATTTTGCAAGCATTATTTTCAGAACGAAAACACAATCATCTTTCAATAATGACTGCGCTTTAATTGTATTCATAAGGCTCCACCTCTACCCCTCACATCACCAGGAATGCTGCAAAACATAATGAAAGCAAATTACGGTACAAGAAACAATTATGCTTTTGCTTCTTTAAAAACACAGTCAAAAGTTGTTACCCTGTTTATTCCTTTGTTGGCTAATCACAGTGGCCAGAGCAGCCATGCTAATATGGCACTTAGTGTGCTTGCGAATGAGTTATAGCATCATAAATAATGTGAGGTTATCCAAGCCGTGTAAAGCAGAAACAAGATTATCATAATCAGTAATTTGCATCATCGTAAGGAGAAAGTTTCCAGGGGACAGATAGATACTGGTATTTAATTACTTAAAAGCCATGAGAGTAAAGGTGTCCCAGACATTTGCATAGTCCCATGTGTTTTGAGAGACTGTGCTCCTTCTCTCTGGGTCTAATCCTACTCTTGTCTGATTGAGGCCAATGAATGGAAGCTCTGTGTGTGGAAGGCAGAAGTAGGCTAGACTAAATTAGGATTTTCTTTTTACTGTATTTTCCCATTCTTCTCTATGGGGATAACTCCAACTCCTCTCAAATTGACTCTCTGATGCTCTCACTCCCCTCCTCCCAATCATAGCTGTCAACTTACAGATTTGAAAATAAGGGACCAGCAGCCTCAAAAATAAGGGATCAGCAGCCAAAATAAGGGATTTTCCGGGCACAGGTATGTTCAACTTCTGAGCCCCTCCGAGCCAAAGGCAGAAAGCCCAGCCAGCAGCCAAACGAAGCCTCAAGCGGTGGTTCCCACAGCGCAGCAACCCAGCAAAGGGGATGCAGCAAGGAAAACTACCGTCACCTCTCTGCTGGGAAGCGCTGAGCAAAGGTGAGTCCCCAGGCAATGCGGCCGATTTGATCGGCACAAGGCATGCAAGCTCCACCCCCCTGGTCGTTCTTAGACTCCTTATTGGGTGAGCAACGCAGCCAAGCAACACAGTTGGAGCCTCCCTCCTCCCTGGCTGGCAGGGAGGGAGGGAGAGGAGCTGCTTCCTTTGAAACCCGGGAAATTTAAGGGACATCATCAATAAGGGACAGCAGCGGGACATGGCGCTGGGATAAGGGAGTTTCCTGCCAAATAAGGGACGGTTGACAGCTATGCTCCCAATGGTGGCAAGTAGGAGTCAAGGAGGGATTCCACTGCTAACAGAAGTTGGTGCTTTTGCTGCAATTTTTAAATGCCTGCTGAAAACCTCTCTAGTCTGCCAGGCCTATGTAGGCAATTAAGATTGCATCCCCTACAGTGGTTCACTGATCTTTGTTTTAACTTTTTATGCTCTTATTCTGTGGTTGTTGTTTTTTTTAAAAAAATTACTGTTGCAAACCACTTTGATATGTCTTTTTGATATAGTGGTATATAAATATGTTTAATAATAAAAAAGTGAGAAACCAGTTTCTTTCAAATTAAATGTAGCTTTAAAAAAAAGTGTGATTGGTATGACATGCATCTTGGCTCTGTCATGCATTGAAGGACAGCAATGCCTGCATTTGAGAGGATGGAAAAGTAAAGAAATATGGTTACGAAAGACCTGCCTAGCGCAGGGTGTAAAATACATCCTCAAGAGAATGGTCAGCAATGTGTAGACTAATCGGTGTGTCCTCTTTCCTTTGTTGGTCTTTCCTATAGTATATAGGAAATATTTTCTTCGCCCAGCACACTGCATGTGGATTGAGTTCGTTGCCCCATTTGCAAAAGAGGACCTATGTTTGTATATGCTTTGTGTCATTTGCATCCCCTTTTGCTGGTGGGTGGAGGACTGAAAAATAAATCAGGGGTCACAAGCAAGTAATAAGACGTCCAACAGACTGAATGGCAGTAGGTACAGCTTTCCCCATAATTATATTGGCGTATTAGAAAAGGCTTGACCTGTTGAATTTCTGCTTGCCCCACAGCTTCATGAGCTGGAAGCTTGTTATTCTACTGTATGTCTTTCATCAGTTGATCTGAAGCTGGCAAATACAAGTATGGTATATCATATGGTGTGGTGTGCTTAAGGTTGAAAGAGATTCAACTTATACAAGCACCCAAGGTTCAGGTCTCCATGCTTTGAAAAATTCAAGATTAAATAGTCAACATGCAAGTATTCTAAGAGTACTTGTTGTTATTTATTATTTAGACCCCATTAAAACTACAGCAATGTTTCCAGCACAGGCCAATGAACCACCCTTTTCATCCTTTTTCTTTTGAGCAAAGGATTGAACCTTTGACATAAATATACCCACTTAAGTGTTCGTACCAGCAGAAACAACCCACTTTCCAAAATTTCTTTATTTTCCCTGTGTTTGTGGAAAAGCAATTAACCCCCCCACTGTTACTAATGATGGATTTTATTTGCATTAGCAGGTTTTTTATTATAATGTTTACATAATCAACAAAACCCACTTGTTTTTGCATAAAATTCAACCTTGAGTTAGAAAGAGCACGAACTCTTGTCTTTGCTTCCACCTTTTCCTTTTCGTGGGCCTGCTAATGCCCAGACACCTCTACGCTAAAAAAACCTGGGTTCCTCCATTATTTTCTCTAGGCAACAAACAGGGGAGACCCAAACCTGACTTCAAATTGAACCAGGCAGCCCTCCATTGCCTTGAATCTAGAGAGAAAATGTTAAAAGTGATGCACGCACCAAGGAAGACCCAAACCCAACTTCACAACGAAGCAGCAAATGGAGAAAAGACTTCATGAGTAATTCTGAGGCCACCTTTTGACACTTCTTTAATAAGTGTGTTGCCCTACATTTCTCTATAGCACACGTCAATCTCAGCCGTTAATGCACTCATTGGCTTAAACACTGAAAGGTGGGAGCAGACACATCTCTAGCAAAGCAATTTCTTTGAAGGAAGTCTGCCTGCTCGTTTTGCTTTGGAACCTTAGTTTTACAGATGATGATGATAATAATAATAATAATAATAATAATAATAATAATAATATCTTATTTATACCCCACCCATCTGGCTGGGCTTCCCCAGCCACTCTGGGAGGCTTCCAAAAAAATACTAAAATACTGTAATACATCAAACATTAAAAGCTTCCCTAAACAGCGCTGCCTTCAGATGTCTTCTAAAAGTCTGGTAGTTGTTGTTCTCTTTGACATCTGGTGGGAGGGCGTTCCACAGGGAGGGCGCCACTACCGAGAAGGCCCTCTGCCTGGTTCCCTGTAACTTGGCTTCTCGCAGTGAGGGAACCGCCAGAAGGCCCTCGGTGCTGGACCTCAGTGTCCGGGTAGAATGATGGGGGTGGAGACGCTCCTTCAGATATACTGGACTGAGGCTGTTTAGGGCTTTAAAGGTCAGCACCAACACTTTGAATTGTGCTCAGAAATGTACTGGTGCTAGAAACTTACTTTTTGCTTTTTAAAAAATGAAAGCCCAGAGTCTGGCCCCCTGCTAGTTCAGGGCCTGTTACAGCAGTGACCCCTATTCCCTGTGAGTCAGTTCATCAGTCTTCTAGCAGGTGACACCAGCACAAGGTCGCAAGGACTGGTCTCTCTCCTTCAGGCATGTTGAATCAGTATGAAGTCACAACAGCAGGTCCCTTACCTGGATGCAGCCTGGATCGGCATGAGATCACAATGGCCAGCCGGCCACACCAGTATGGGGACAAAATGGCCAGCCTTTCTCCTTTAGGCATATTGAATCAGCATGAAGTCACAATGGCCAGTAGCTCTCCTTTAGGTGGGCCACATCAGCATGAAGTCACAATGGCAGGTCAGCGTGAAGTCACAATGGCAGGTCCCTTACCTTCAGGCAGGTTGTGTATGGTAACAATGACCAGTTTTTCATATTGAAGCAGCGTAGGGGTGGGCGTGGGGATTTCTCTCTCTCATATTGATGGTGGGCACATGTATGAGCATGTGAGCATTGCCTGTCATTGAGATGAGTGGGCCCAGTGGCTGCCAGCATATATCTTGCTGACATGGACCAGAGGTTGTGAGCAGAGGAGCATCGGGCACGCAGAGGTGGAGAGTTGGCAGGCAGCCACTCCAGCTATTACAGGCCTTCTGCTCACACTGAGTATTCCCGTAGTGGCCCGGCACCAAAAGAGGCAGAAATAATGGAAGCGGACGCAGAAACTTTGGAAGTTCCCCAGAAATAACAAGGTAGCAGCCTGTAGAATCTGCCAGGGTGGCAGGTGCAGTTTAAAGACTAGAAGGCTTGGAGTTCTGGCATCAATTCACTGGCTCAGGTGAAGAGATGTGGTGCACAGAATTCATTTCCTCCTGTTTGAGGGGGAACTGCAATATTCAGAGCATCGAATGGATGTCCGTCTGCATGTTCATGTTGGATCATGGAGGAAGGGGGACTGGCTGGCTGGTTGCTTAATGGCCAGCTGCCATTTCTTGAAACTATTACCGAATTGTGCATTTCAGAACTACAGTGCCTCTTCCTGAGAGTCTCTCACCTAGAAATCGGCTCCAACCCCCTCCACATGCCTCCATGTGGATGGGAACAGAGGTGGGCTGGTTTGGGCTGTATTATTAACATGGGAAAGATAAGGAAAAGGGGATTTTTTCTTCCTTTCAGGGATGGAGTGGGAAGGAGAGAAGCACAGCGAGGAATTCACTGGTGGGGGGGAGCTCTGGATGGTAGAATAATTTTGTGGAGGAATCAAGAGAAGGAGTATGGATTTGAGACTTAATTTTTGTAACTTGATCTGAGGGAGATTGGTTGAAGGGGAATTGATCTCTGTCAGAATCTGAAAGCCACATTAATGGGTATGTTCTTTCTTTGCAGCAATTTTTTATGGTTTGGTGATTTGGGGCTGAGATCCCACTTCTGTTTGTGTTCAGTTTGTGGCTTTGGGCCACTTCATCTAGTCCAACAGTGGCCAACCAAATACCCCTGAGGAGCTCATAAGCAGAATATGAGGGCAACTGTCTTCCCTTGTGTGTTGTCCCACATGAGCTGTGCCATATTTTTAAGCAAGATAAATATTTTATAAAAAGTGCTCCACACATTTAATTCCTTCATCTATAATGTACAGCATATGTGGTACGGTTCGCTTTCTTGAGGTGTTGTCTCTACATGCTTTCTGACTATAGTGCAGTTGTAGCTTGGATTGTGTTGATCTGTAATAACCCAATGCCATACCCTGCAAGTGTCCTGGAAAAAACGGGGCATTCCGTTTTCTTGTGTGAGAGCATGGCAGCCATTTGGGTGCTGTGATCTCATGTGCTTTCATGCGGAGATCTCGCCCTGTAAAAAAAGAGCACTTTTCAGGGCTGTGATTTTGCGTGGTGCCCCGAAACGTGAGAAAAGGGCATCTTGGGGGTTCTGTGATCTTGCATGGGTGGGAAGACACATTTCCCATTTTTAGGACTCAGGTTGTTGGGGTGAATACAACGCTATGTGTGGATGGCGTCCACTGAGCCTCTTGGGCTTGCCGATCAGAGGGTCGGCGGTTTAATCCCCACAATGGAGTGAGCTCCTGCCGCTCTGTCCCGGCTCCTGCCAACCTAGCAGTTCAAAAGCACACCAGGTCAAGTAGATAAATAGGTACCCCTGTGGCGGGAAGGTAAATGGCATTTCCATGCTCTTCGGTGTCCGTCATGGTGTTCCGTGGTGCCAGAAGTGGTTTAGTCATGCTGGCCACATACGATATGATACGATACAATACAATACAATACTATAATCTTTATTGTCATTGTCCCATACAGAACAACAAAATTGAAAAAATATCCATCAGACATTCAGAACCAACAAGCCTGCTATCCCAGCTATCCTAGCCTGTTTAGCCCCCTAGAAACTCTGATACCCCATAATTAAATGCAATATACTCGCATAGAGTCTACCTTATACTGTGTTTAAAACCAAAATCGCATTTGGATAGAAACTTTCTCAGGCAGCTCATGACTCGGAAAGCTGTCTGTGGACAAACGCCGGCTCCCTTGGCCTGAAAGCAAGATGAGTGCCACAACCCTATAGTCGCCTTTGACTGGACTAAACCGTCCAGGGGTCCTTTACCTTTTTACCTTACATTGCAGGGGATTTGTGAGCATATGCAATACCTGTACACCTTATGACCCGAGTGGTTTTTAAAAAATGCTCCTTGACATGTGAGGTGTTGTCAGGCTCTGCCTCTGCTAGATACTGCCAGACTCCACTTCTTCACCTGCCAGGCTTAGTTTACTCAACCTCCCCCCTTGCCAGGCATCATTCTTTCTTGAGTGGTCAGGTTCTGTGAGGCTCTACCCCCTTGAACTTTAACCTTTCATGCCAGGTTCTACTGGTGGGAGTAGCTTGGCAGGCTGGGAAGGTTTTGTAGCACCCCAACTTTTGGTGGTGGTGGTGGGGATGGAACCAGCTATTACTTCCACATACATTGCGATGTGCAGTTCTGCGTAAACCACAATGTTTTTGGGTGGTTCTCTCCTTATAATAATGTATTTTGAAAGCTGTAGCAGAGGGAAAAATGTATTTTGTCCAATATTTGGTATTCTAATTGGGTTGAGAAAAGCATTTCCACAGTTTGGTTGCCAAGGCAACCATGTCCTTCATCTCCATGTGTTCCGCATATGTGTATCACTTTATCTTGCATCTCTCAGAGGCAATATCATGGCATTGCATTTTAGATTTTTTTTTTTTTTAAAAGAAGTGGAAAAAGCTCATAAAACCTTTTAACATCTAGAAGACTCATTAAACGATTTTGCTCAAGAGCAGCTTAACTTATTCTTTTTTCCCCAGCTGTATTATGAAGGGGCTGTAAACGCAACTGGGCTCTTCTCAATATTTCTTTGTACCAAAGAGAGCTTGTTGTTGTTTAGAAACGAACAAATCACTGGTGATACCGTTGTGTGCTTAAGCGGAAAGTTATGTAGAATATGTTGATCCATCAATATCTGTACGTGTGTGAGTGTCTCAGATTGCCACATATAATGGGAATGGTATATATGTGTGCATATGTATAATTTTGCTTCTAAATAGGTACTTGCAGGTGGTGAGTGAGAATCAAAAAAGAGGGATAGAAATTTCTTAAAAGTTACTCCCTTAAAAATCCAAAACAAAACAAAAGCTCCCACTGTCAGGCCTAGAATAGAGCTAGATGAAAAATGAGCTGTTTTCCCAAAAACTTTAAAATGATTCAGCTTATTCGAGATTCCACTCCCCGAGTTATGTCTTTGGGAGTGTATCAGGGTCCAGTTCTCCACCAATCCTCCTGGTTAGCCTTCATAACCTGTGTCCTTTCTACCTAATTACCTTTTCTGCTGCTCTGGCAGTGGTGAAATGAAGGGTGGTGGTTGTCTCTGATGCCTACCACAGCTGTGTGCCTGGAGCGCTTGGGAAATACTGTTGCTAGGGAAATAGCTGTTTTTCCTTGTAAGATTTCTCATTTGAGGCCCCTAGTATGTTATACAGATGACACCAAATTGGGAGGAGTAGTCAATGCTGCAGAAGACAGAATCGGGATTCAAGGTGACCAAGGAGAACTGGGACCAAACTAACAAAATGAATGTCAATAAGGACAAATGTAAGGTTCTACACTTGAAATGTTGTTGTTGTTTAGCGTTTAGTCGTGTCTGACTTTTTGTGACCCCATGGACCAGAGCACGCCAGGCACTCCTGTCTTCCACTGCCTCCCGCAGTTTGGTCAAACTCAGGCTGGTAGCTTCGAGAACACCATCCAACCATCTCGTCCTCTGTCGTCCCCTTCTCCTTGTGCCCTCCATCTTTCCCAACATCAGGGTCTTTTCCAGGGAGTCTTTTCTTCTCATGAGGTGGCCAAAGTATTGGAGCCTCTGTCCTTCCAGTGAGCACTCAGGGCTGATTTCCTTAAGAATGGATAGGTTTGATCTTCTTGCAGTCCATGGGACTCTCAAGAGTCTCCTCCAGCAACATAATTCAAAAGCATCAATTCTTTGGCGATCAGCCTTCTTTATGGTCCAGCTCTTACTTCCATACATCACTACTGGGAAATGGAACTTGAAATGGAAGACCCTATATCAGGGGTGCCCAAACTTTTTTCAAAGAGGGCCAGATTTGATGAAGTTGTTGAGCTTTTTTTTTTTTTACAATTTTACCCCAAAGTTGTTGAGCTTTTCTTAGGATTTTATGGGGGCCGGATTAAATCGAACAGCGGGCCAGGTTAGGCCCCCAAAGGGGACGTTGGACATGTCTGCCCTATATAAAGAAGGGGGGCACCTGGCTTGCCAGTGGTACATATGAAAAAGATCTAGAGGTCTTAGTAGACCACAAGCTTAACATGAATAAAAAAATGAAAATAAAAAAGCTAATGCTATTCTAGCCTCTATCAACAAAGTATAGTGTCCAGTTCAAAGGAAATAATAGTCCCACTCTAGTCTGCCTTGGTCAGAACACGTCTGGAGTAAGATGTCCAATTCTGGGCACCACAATTTAAGAAGGATATTGAACCTACACAGAGGAGGGCAACCAAGATGATCAAGGGTCTGGAAACCAAGCCTTAGGAGTGAGTTGAGTATGTTTAGCCTGGTAAAGAGGAGACTGAGAAGAGGTATGATAGCCATCTTCAAATATCTTAAGGGCTGTCACATAGAGGGTGGAGCAAGCTTATTTTCTCCTGCTATAGAGGCTAGGACCTGAACCAATGGATTCAGCTTACAAGAATAGAAATTTCAACTAAACTTCAGGAAGAACTTTCTTTTCTTTTTTAAAAAATAATTTTTATTAACAGACCAATCAAATCAAATCAAATCACATAAATTCCAAATTACAGAGCCTAATTTTAAATTTTTGTTGGGGTACCCATATTTCAAGTTCTGAAAGGGATCCAATCCTCTTGTTGCTGCTGCTTTAGAAGTCCACAAATCTGTCCAAATAATGTTCACAATTCTGTCCAATCCTTTCTTGCTGTTTTCCACATCTCTTCTAGTTGTTTTCATATATTTTTCCTTTCTTTTTGTCTTTGTGGCCTCTGATAGTCTCCATAAGCGGGTTGAAACAAATTTGTATTCCTGTGTGGATTTTTCCGTTCGTCCAAGAGTCATATTTCAGACAGCTGCCGTATTTCATCGCTTCAATAAAGAAAAATATTCTTGCTGTCTATTCATTAACCTTTCACAGGTCTGTCCCTCTTTCTCAGTCCTCGAGGAGGTTCTACCAGGAATCCAGTATGAAAACAATGCTTCCTCCTCCCGATCATGAATCTTTCGACAGGACCTGTCAAAATGGCGACTCCCTTTTTGCTGCTGCGCCATCAAAAGCCCTTGTTCTTTTTCTCGCTCTCACAATCCAAACTTTTGGTAGTAAATCATTTCCACACAGTTTTTAATCATCCTGTTTAGGTCGGTTATGCGACGGTTCTTTTTGAGGAGGGGTTATTGGTTAATCACATAGAAGAAAAGAAAAAAAGTTTTTCCCCCCATCCAGTCCCGCTCTGGTATACTGAACCTGGTGTATTTTTTTCATGTTGTATTCCGTTAAATCCAACCCGTCGTTCTCTTCACAGAGGTCACTTCAGTTAGCAGTCTTCACTCCCGTTCTTCACTTGAAATATGTGCATTTGCTTCATTTCCAATTATATATTTCGACCTGATGCAAACCAGTGCGCGATCAGAGACAGCGTCCGGGAGAGCTGGACCCACCCGAGGGCTTTGTGCCTAGTGCCCTCACCCCCTTCTTTCAAATCCGGGGGTGAATTATGGACACAGCAGGCAAGGCAGCGTTCCCCATTCCCTTGGGGCAACGAAGGGAGGCTGCATACTCCCATATCAGCCTCTTAATTACCTCGTGTGGGTCGGAGAGATGTTATTGTCGGCCATCTTCCAATGCGCCCCCTGGCGGCCCCCTCAGGAAGAACTTTCTAATGGTAAGAGGTGTTTGACAGTGGAGTGGTCTCCCTTGGAAGCTTGTGGACGCTCCTTCATTGGAGCTTTTTTTCTTTTTTTAGCAGAGGTTGTATGTCCATCTAACCTGGATGCTTTAGTTGAGATTC